CATGAAAAATGCGAATACTAGGTAATGTTAAAAATACCCACTTGTAACAACATAAAACTGTTCTAATGTCATATTTGAAGCACTCCCAAATTTACAAAATTAGATTACAAATTTTATTTAACATAGAAGAAATTATGTGTTCAGTCTTAAGGTCAGAGTTCACTTCTTAGAATGACTGTGGGTGGTACTCTTCCTCACCTGACTTTGTGGGGTGAAGTGCCTGTTTGCAGAAGAGGGTTGCCATTTTGTATTTTATTTTGACTCTGTTCTTGGTCCCGACTACAAGTCTGGATTTTTTGTGCACAAATGATTTGGGCACATAATACTCTGTGCCAAATATCAACTCTCACATTGTACTCCTTCATACCTCTATGCTGGTAACATAAAACGGCAGTACAGTAGAACTTCGAAAACTCGTCCCTCGATAACTTAGCACTCCGGATAACTGGTCCACACCTTGGCAGGGCGAAAAAATCCTTAGTTAATTAATTTTCATTATAGACAGCTTTATAAAAGTATAAAAGCTCTCATAAAGTATTTTTCTGAGGTCTGTCTTATCAGGTAAATTACTGTACACAGTGTATTCATTAATTTTCATTTTCATGTAGTGGCTCTATGCCTTCATAAAGGACGTACTTTTCCTTTGTTTAAGGGTATTTGGGCAGTTTATTCTCTGTTATATTCTGTACAAGTAAATACTGTACAAGTACAGTACAGTATTTTCTGAGGAAATACTCGTACTTATTTTTTTTAACCCCATTCCCGATAACTCTGCATTTTCACAAACTCGGCCACCCTTCGGTCCACATTAGGTTGAGTTTTCAAGGTTCTACTGTATCTGTATATATATAACATTCAACGGGTGTCCATCTGTCCTGTAACCGTTTGATAACGGACACTAGAGGCACCCCTATCGTGTGTCATATTTCAAACATTCAAATTAACAATTATAATTAATATTTAAATTAACAATATAAATTATTATTATTATTAATTTGGTCCATAAATTATTATTTGGTCAATATAACAATATAAATAATTCAGTATATTTGTAATAGGAATTTATTATTTCAGGGGCTTATATCTCGCAAAGGGTTGTAAGATTTCAAGATATACAAAATATCTTGAAATCAAACGATATAATTATTTTTCATTTTTTAAAGTAATTTAATACATTCTGCAACCTCCAAAATCATATTAATAATGCTGTGTAAGATACATATTAAAAATTATCTATGAATTATGTAGAAATTTTCACACAGTAAGACCCTGCTTAACACGGAATGCATTCCTAGACGACAAAGTGCTAAGCGAAACAGCATTAAACAAGACCATTTTAATGTAGAGTAAATAGGGATGGGGAAACGTGACCAAAAATAAAAGAAAATTTACTTTAATTTTAAGTTATTTTTATATTAATTTGTATAATAATATATGTTAAATAACACATAAACATATGCACACAGAAATGTATAATAATATGTTAATTAGTTCATTTTTTGTGACGAAGGTACTGACTTTTCTGAAAATCTTGTTTTTTTTTTGTTTTTTTTTTTTTTTTGCAATAAAGTCATGAAGTTTCATTTGTTGCTTTTTTCTCTCCTTAAGCAATTGTTGGTAGCAGATCGCATCCAAAATGCCTTGTTTTGCTTTTGCACTCCTTTCAAAATCTAGATCATTCACTACAATTTGATCAACGATTTTGGTTATCATTACCAAATTTTTACTAAGAAAATCTGTAGAGAAATATTTTGGGTTCTTCGTATTCAGAATCTCTGTTTTCCAGTTCTACATGAATTCCTTGTTCAGCCAGTTCTTGAAGTCATCGCTGTTAAGGCTCTTACCAGAAACCTGCAGTAACTCCCCAATATCCTGCTCATCTACATCATCTGTATCGATTAAGCTGACAATTTTGTCAATCTAACAATATAGTGATAGGCTTTTCTCGATGAAAAGTTTTGGATACCTTCAGCCATAACTTCTTCCACACTCCGTTCATGCATTTATCAGTTACTTCTTGCCAAGCTAAGTCGCTATTTCCTATGGTATCCATGATGCTATATTTTTTCCAAAATTGCACCAAACAACATAGATTTAAGGAAGTATAGCACTTTGGCGAATTGCCACCTTTTGCTGATTGGTTCATGTTTGGGAATAATCGTATTATATACGAATCAATGAAATACTGCGTTAATTTGAATCAGCATAAATTTTGAGTGTTTTTAGGCGTCAAGCAGACCGCGTTATATTGAATCAGCATTAAGCGGGGTCTTACTGTAGAATAAATTTATTAAAGTTTGCTGGAAACTGCATACAACAACAACAAATGTTTTGAATTGAGTTGAAAATTTAAAAAAAATGAACTTAGATCAAACTAAAAAGACAAGTTTTCTCAGAATCACTGGAAAGAATAATTAACACACGAGAACCTTATTATTATATTCCAGTAATGATAAAAATTAAATAAAACTAATGTTTTCAACAATATTCATGGTCTTCCTCAGACTTTTGACCAGTACAATTTGAATATGGAATGTGTCGAACAATATGTTTAAATTATCTTAAAATTTTGAAAAATTTAAAACTGGAAGATAATTTTTCAGCTGAATGTGCTACTATAGTGATAAAAATATCTTTACATCACAACAAATAAATAATATGTACTTAATGGTGTAGTAGAATAAGTATCTAATGTTGCTCTCGTTTTTTCTCATAGTACCACCTCCATGCATCCTTTGTGTTGATACAGTTGCTGGCCAGTCTGGCTTTGTAAATTTCTAAAGCATCTAGGTTGTGAAGGTGCTCAACCTGACATGACATTTTTAATAATTTGGCCTTATGGATGTGGGCTTCTATTTCAGGGTCCATGGTGTGGGATGCTAGGACAGTGGGTATGCCTTTGGTTGGAGATATCATAACTGCACTTGTATTCTTTTGCTTAGTGAGTGCTTTGTTGGATCCGATGTATACATGTTGGAATCTGTGGTCTCTGACAGAAACCATATAAACACCAGGTGCTCCTCTGTCCTGTCCTTTCCATTGTGCAATAGCCCATAAGGCTATGTACATATTTGGCATTTTGCGTTGCGTTAAACGTGCATTAGCAGCGTACACACCGCATGTTGGATTGACGTTCGACGACCGTTTAGTGGAGCGTTAGCACTGGCTCAGTTTGGAAATGGACGTGAAAGTAATTGCTTGTGTGTGCCTCCTCCACCATCGCTATAAAAGACGATGGCAGAGGCAAAGAAAATTTTGGGTGCACTCAATATTACGAGATAGACTGACGCATGGAATGTGTGTGACATTGTATTCAAAACTAAGACAATATGAAAGACAATATGAACCCAAATTTTTTAATTCTTTTAGAACAGGGGTCGCCAAACTTTTTTAACCATTGACCCCCAACCACTTTCCAAAGCCTCACATAGACCCCCCACCGTAAAATTTTATTACAAGTGTATGTGTTTGAGCAAAAAAAAAAGTGGTCTCTGTGTAAGCAAAAAAAAAAAAAGGTTGTGACCCCTTAGCCACATCAACCCCCTAATCGACCCCCTAGCTGCATCGACCCCTGGGGTCGATATCAAATACTTTGGCGAACCCTGTTTTAGAATATCTATAAAATCATTTGACGATGGCTGGTCTCTTTTAGATTTCATCAATTAATAGACCAGTATCAAAATGATCATTCTCCATTTCGGCCAACATACGTCCACTCTACCCAAAAGCACGCGATCGAATGTACAACAACATGGCAGCACATATATCTTATAGCGCCCATAAAACGCGCATTTTAACAAAAATCTATCAACGCGCGCTTGGCCAAAAGTGTGCATTTGAGTATGTATGCCTATGCAGAACTCTTGATTCTTTAAAATGCGCGTTTAAAAACACCTAATGTGTACACAGCCTACACTGTGCTAGATTTCTTATTGTGTCTTTATGGGCAGTAATTTTCTTATAGACAGAGCTTAGGTGCTGGTTGTATTTCATTACTGTATGTAATTGGTTGATGCCGTTATCATGGTGTCGTTGGGCGTTACCTGTGTGTTGAGTATTGCACGTCATTAGTAGGAATATTCAAATTGTACTGGTCAAAAGCCTGAGGAAGACCATGAATATGGTTGAAAACGTTAGTTTTATTTAATTTTTATCATTACTGGGATATAATAAGGTTCTCATGTGTTAATTAGATCAAACTTCTAACTTAAAAGGTATTTTCATTTTTTAAATAAAAACATAATACAAAATATTATTGTAAATTTTTATAATAAGATTTTAAAAAGCAAAGAGATTGAGTGATTGGAGTATTGATACTCCAATCACTCAATCTGATTATTATTTTAGTAATGAAGAGTCCTGTTACTGAGAATGCCCTTTCCAATTCAATTGATGTGAGTGGAATCGTATTTAACCTGTTCCATACACCCATATTGAATTGATAGTTGTAGGAATTTCAGCAATGAATTTCCTACACAAAGTGCAACAAAAATATATATAATTAAAGGGGTCATAATGAAACAGTGATTTGTGATCTCAGAAATTTTAACTTTTCAGTTATTTTCTTGTAACTGATTCAATTTAAAATTTTTATTTGTATGTTGACTTTGTTCCACAATTTTGGCTTTTTTTGATTTAATTTAAATTGCTTCCCATTTTGAATCCTTATATATTCCTCAGTATCACCATTTTAAAGTCTACTAAGGACTGCTCCTTCAATTGTCCAATTGTCATAAGACAAGTTCAAAGATCTCCCAAAATGGGGCTACCCATTGCTACTTTCCTTTTTTGGATGTATGTATGTTAATAAAAGTAAAAAAAAAGGACGAATAACACAATAGATGTGCCAGCTCTAATATCTGTACATCACCATTTTGTTTGAAAGAATTAAAATGATCATTAATTTTGTTTATTTGTTCATTGCTACAATTCAGAATTATTTTAACTTTTTACAACGGGTGTCTGATTATGTATGTTTAATCAAAAAATGAAATTATCTTGTATCTGTATAATTTATTGTGTTCTGTCTGGCAGCAGGAAAGACCAACATCAGGTAATTGCTTTCATGCAATTTCTGTCAGCAGAATCACTGCACTTTGCTATTTTTAATGAAATAGCAAATTGTTTATATTAAAATTTGATATAGCATGTACATTATCTCTAATTTTACAAATAATAATAATAATGCATTTTGAGATGAACTTTTTACATACAAATTAACAATACATATGTAACGAAACTTATCATTGATTAATTTTATTATTCAAGTCTAAAGAAAACAAAATAATTATTTTGATGAAATTTCATCTGAGAGCAACTCAAAAAGTTATCACTTTGTCACTCCTTGGGTTTCTTGATTTTTGTAGAAAAACTTTTGCAGTGACCGTCTGTAGTGAAGGTTAACTATGTCAATCAGGCCACATCTGCCATCTTTATGTGGAAGAATAAATCTTTCTTTGACGGATTTAGGATGATGATGATTATGTTTAGTAAGTGTTGTTGTTGTTTTCTTTTGGAGTTGCTGCATTGTGAGGTTATAGCTCCTGGGAAACCCTGGTGTGACAGTCTATGGGCATCTTTCATGAGATGGCATCCCCTCGTTGGACCCCATTGCTCACTGGGAGAAGAATAAACATTCTTCAATATGAATTCAATAAAACCTGAAAGAACATGTACTGATGCATTGCCATCAAAGGATGTTAGTTTCTTTAACCAACCAGCTTACCTCATTGTTCATGCTACTGGAGAAACACCTCTCTAAACGTTCTTTCTTTTATTCAAAAATTATTTGAATTGACCATTTGGCATCTAAAAAAATACAAAAATTAAAGTCAGGAGATTTGCTTGTAGAAACAGCCTCCCCTCAACAGTCAGCAAAGCTTTTGGTAACAAAGACTCTAGGAGATATGAAAGTCACTATCACACAACACACAAGTTTGAACTCATCACATGGTGTGATATGAGATTGATCTGATGTCTCAAGGGGAATCAGCCTTTCAGACCAAGGTGTCACTGCAATCTGACACATCTCCATTCATCGAGATGGCAAGTTAATTTCTGCTAAACATCTAATCCATTTAACAAACCAACCTTGCCATTTTTCATTACAGCAGGATACCTGAACTGTCCAGTTCGTTCATACATTTCAAACCCACTGCGTTGTTTTAAATGCCAGTGGTTTGGACATTCACAAGTATCCTGTTGAGGGAAGAATGTATGCTCACAGTGTGGAATTGAAGGTGACCAGAGTACTAAGTGTACCACTACTCCGTGCTGTGTGAATTGCAAAGACGCACATCCCACCTACTCCCGGAAATGCCCTGCATGGCAGACAGAAAAAGAAATCCAGCATGTAAAAACAGTCAACAACTTACCTTATTCAGAGGTGTGTCGCATGGCTGTTTCAAGTGACCCACTAAAACAAAAGACATTCGTTACTGCTTTCAAATCCACAAAGACATGTGGAATTCAAACCGATATTTGTTTTCCCAAAAAGGTACATACTGGGGTGCCTTTTTCTATTTTATATTATGGGTAATATTCCGAAGTGTAACAGGAACCTGTCCCTTTTTATTTGGGGTGACTAGTAAATGTGCTCCAGAAAGACCTTTTATCTGTAAAGGATGTGATTCAATAACTCCTATCTCTTTACGGCTTTTCATTCCCTTTATTGTTGCCGTAACTATGTTATCTGACTGGGGAGGAAGTTTACAAGTCTCCAGTAGAATTACTTCCTTTCCTTCTTCTTCGGTGGGTTTTTGTTTCTTTATTTTATCTACTCTAACTGTGATCATAGGAATGTTATCGGAGCCAGAAGTAATTTTCCTGGGAGTATCTAATTAAATTTTTCTGGTTCCTTTTCTTGGCAAGGGTATTTATTGTCCCTTTGTTTGATTAGGTTATACCCTACCTTTCTTCTGGGAATAGGAGAACTAATAAAGGGGATAAATGTATGAGGAGGTATTATTAAGTGACCATTTTGTAAATCAGGTAGGAATCCCTTTTCTACTATCATGTCCCTACCAATTAACCCATCACAAGGATAAATAACCTTGGCATCTACTATACAATAAGGGAAGGTGAAACGTAACTCTCCAATTTGAAAAATAGGACTCAGAATACCATAGGTATGTATAGGGTGACCAGTTGCACTTCATAAATCAGTTTCCTGTTTGTAATCAATGGGCAACCTTTTCTGAATCTGGTCAATGAAAGTCTTTGATAATAGTGACACCTTGGCCCCAGTATCCACTTGTAATGTTGCTCGTATATCTTCTATTTCCCCTACTACGGTAGGTTCATTATGTATCCTTCTAACTTTTTCTGCTTCTGAAGGATAACTTTCATCTTGCTTTTTCCACGGAATTATGTTACCTGAACAATAATACCAACTAACTATCCTCCTTTTATTGTTTAATCCGGTTCTAGGGGGCATACTTCCTATTTTACCCCTATATTGATATACTGGCCTATAGTGCTCCTGATTATTTGTTGGCCTTAGCTCTCTGGGTTCCCTAGGAATGGGTGCAAACCTTACTCTTGGTTGACCTCTTCCACCTGGGTGCTTTGGGACAGCTTGTTGGAGGGGAGCGGGTTTTTGTTGCTTTGGTGAGACATTGGGTCTGGGCATTGGCGTTAAAGGGAAATAGTTATCTTGATAATCTGGAGTATCAAATCGTCTCTTCCCACGATTAGTAGAGTTGTACGAGTATCCCTTACTTTGGAACCTTCCTGCCTGTTCAGGATATTGTCCTTCCCATTGCCTTCTTCCCCTTAGTGCTGGATTCTTATTTAAGTTATTGAAATCAGTTCTTAAGGCTTTTACGACGGTTATTAATTGTTCCATCTCTTGCCCCGATTTGCCTACTGCCCTCTCCCTAAATTGGGAGGGTTGAAGTGTCTCCTCCTCTTTTATTACTTTCAGAAACCCATGAGGACGGGAAGTCAATATTTCTATATTCTCCTCACTGATGGCTACTTGCAAATCTTGGTCGAACATCTCCATTTCTGGACATTACCCGTTGTCTAATTTTCATATCTATCCCTGATAAGAATTGTACTCTAAGCCGCTCATCTAATTCTTTTTCTTTTACCCTTTTTATAATTGCTATTTCAGTATCACTAGCTCCCTCATGTTCGATTTCCACCTCTGCATCTAAAGACTGTAACCGTACAGCATAAGCTTGTACAGTACATCCTCATCTCGCACTTGTACACAGGCATAAAATTTCTGAAGCCTATATGTATATGGAATCTATTCAAAGCGTTTTATCATAACCTTCTTAAAGGTCTCAAAATCCTCTACATCTTTAATTCGCCGATCCTTTCGAGCAAATTCTCGGGCAGTGCCAGTTAACTTTAACTGTAAAGATGCCCATCCTGCCTATTCCCGGAAATGCCCTGCAAGGCAAAGAGAAAAGGAGATTCAACGGGTGAAAACTGTAAAAACTTATCATACCCAGAGGCCCGTCGCATGGTCACTCCAAGTGCACCATTATAGCAAAAGACATTTGCTAGTGTGTTGAAATCCACTAAGTCAGGTGGGGTTCAAATAGATATTTCTGTATCCCCAAGTGAATCTGTTACTCAACATGCAAAATGCTTATTAATCCATCTGCACAATCAGAAGAAAAGGAGAACACAAAGACCAAAACCTCTGTAACTAAAACGGGAGTAACAACCAGAAATCTGAATTCTAAAAAAGCCAGTAAGAACCCACTTAACAAACAAAGAGTGAAAGCAGCCCTCTCTAAAGTCTCAAAAAAATCAGAAGCTCAATCTATGAGTGAGTTCTCTGACATATCTGATGAAGAGCCTTATATGGAGGTTTCAAAATCAAAGTCACCTCCAAAAGTGAAACCGCCTGTTAAATTAAAGAGTGATACCCTCGCAAAGAATGCTGCCTCAAACACATAATGGATTATAAAATAATACAATGGAACTGTCGTGGTTTCCGCAACAACTTCTCTGACATTAAACACTTGACATCATCTACCTCATCTCTCTGTGTGGCACTCCAGGAAACCCATCTAAAACCTGGAGAAAATATTTCTCTCAAAGGATTCAATCTTTACCGCAAGGATGAAGATAGCCACAACTGAGCCATTGGCGGTGTGGCTATTCTGGTTTCCAATTGAATCCCATCTTTGCTGGTACAAATAACCACTGATTTACAAGCTGTGGCAGTCAGAATTTCTATTGGAGTAACTGTCACAGTTTGCTCTATATACTTGCCACCAGATGTCAGAGTCAAGAAGGATGAATTGGATGCCTTGGTTGAACAGCTGCCAACACCATTCCTTCTACTGGGTGATTTCAATGGCCACAATCCTATGTAGGGAAGTCCTGACATTAATTGTTGAGGCGGAGCCATTGAACGACTCATAGGCAATCAGCAAATGTATTTATTTAATACTGGAGATGCGACATACTTCCATGCCCCAACAAGAACTTTCACTGCCATTGATTTATCATTAGCCACTCCGAATCTGTTTTCATTATTTTCATGGGAGGTTGGATCCAATCCACTCTATAGTGACCACTTTCCAATATTTCTATAATATCAAGGCAGAGAAAGCTGTGAAACAGCCCATCTACCATGCTGGAAACTGGAAATGTCAGATTGGCCTGGAATCTCCTCTTTGGCTAACATCACTGAGGAAATGGTCAATACCGCTGATATCAATGACGCAGTTGAAGTTGTCACTTCCAGTATTATTCAGGCAGCTGAGAAAACAATAGGAAAGACATCAATAAGATACCCAAAGCATTCGAAACCATGGTGGAACCAGAACTGCGAGGCAGCATTTAAAGCACAAAAGAAAGCATGGGGAATTTTTAGAAGATACCACACTGCTAAAAATTTAGTTGCTTTTCGAAAGGCAAATGCCAGAAGAATAAGAAGGCAAAGCCAAAGGGATCCTTGGAGGAAGTATGTTTTTAGCATAACATCTTCCACTAGCTCAAAAGCAGTCTGGGATAAAATCCATAAAATCAATGGAAAATATGCTTCTTACTCTGTCTATGCTGGAAAAGAATGGCACAATAATCAGCGATATACAGGGTATTGCTGATACGTTGGGTGAAACCTTTTCTTATTCTTCTAGCAATATTATGTATTCAAGGAATTTTCAGGTTTATAAATTGCAAAGTGAAAAACAATATTTAAACTTTCATTCCTCATGTAATGAGGAATATAATGTGCCATTCACCAGCATAGAACTACATACAGCAATCTCTCGCTCGGGGAATATTGCTGTATGCCCAGATAAAATACACTACAGCATGATTAAAAATCTTTCAGACAATTCTCTTTGTAATGTTCTGAATATGTTTAACAGAATATGGACAGAACATATTTTTCCCGACTTTTGGAGGCTATCTATCATTATTCCCATTCCCAAGCCTGGTAAAGACCACAAGAATCCCTCTAATTACAGACCAATCTCTCTGACAAGTTGCCTGTGTAAACTCTTTGAGAGGATGGTAAACAGACGTCTGATGTATCTCTTAGAGAAAAATGAATACTTTTCACCACATCAGAGTGGTTTTCGTAGGAACAGAAGTACCACTGATAACTTAGTAAACCTTGAAACATCTATACGCGAAGCGTTTGTTAGACGACAGCACTTAGTGTCTGTATTTTTCGATATAGAGAAGGCCTATGATCGCTGTTGGCGATACGGGATACTCCGTGATCTGTACGAATTCGGATTGCGGGGTAATTTGCCGATTTTTATAAAAAACTTCCTACAGAATCGAAGATTTCATGTCAGGATGGGCAACACTTTATCTAGGCCTTTCACACAACAAGAAGGTGTTCCTCAAGGCTCTATTTTGAGTGTGACTCTGTTCCTAATTAAAATTAACAGCATAGCTAACTGTCTCCCTCCCAGTGTGAAACACTCTTTGTATGTAGATGACTTTCAGATCTCCTGTCAGTCTAGTAATATGAGTTTCATTGAGAGACAACTTCAAACTTCCCTAAATTGCATATATGATTGGTCCAAGACCAATGGGTTTACGTTTAATGCAGCGAAGACATCGTGCATCCACTTCTGCCGAAGGCGTGGTTTGCACCTGGATCCTGAAATTCACCTAAATGGGGATAAAATTCCAATGGTGAATGAGGCTAAGTTTTTGGGTGTTTGTTTCGACCAAAAACTGACATTTTTGCCACATTTGCACAACTTGAAGAGTAGATGTCTAAAATCTCTGAACCTTTTAAAGGTACTGTGCTGCTCATCCTGGGGAGCAGACAAAGTTTCTATGCTCAGGATTTATAGGGCCCTTGTTTGCTCTAAGCTGGACTACAGTTGCATTGTTTATAGCTCTGTGCGAGAATCTACTCTTCGGATGCTGGATCCAATTCACCATCAAGCACTGCGTTTGTGCACTGGTGCTTTTCGAACTTCTCCTGTACAAAGTCTGTATGTGGATGCTTATGAGCCTTTACTATCTCTCAGGAGAGAACAGTTGGTCTCTATTTTACTTTATAAAACAGAAATCTCACACTAAATCTTCAATTGATTGTACAGTATTAAATACTCAGCTGAAAAGGTTATTTGAAGCTTGCCAAAGCAGTGTCCCTACATTCGCCATAAGAATGGAGAATGTGAGCAGCACGATTGATCTGAACACAGGCAACATTTCACAGCTACTCCAACTATCTACAATTAACCAGTAACCGGTGCAAAAATTCTTTAAAATTGGCGAACGTTTTTGATTCCCGTCCTGGGATCTTCTTCAGGCTTACTTTATTTTACCTTTCGTTATTACCGGATTCTTTAATTCAAATGTTTTTGAAAAATATGGAATGTGCCATTTTTCAAAAACATTTCGAAAATGGAAGGAATCTACATGTTATTTTAAATATAATTTTTTACCATTGGGGATTCGTTGTGTGCAATACCTCATAGAATTTATCTTATAAAGCTAGAGGTTTGTAGTATATCTCCTTGGTCAACGCCTGTGATAAATGTTGACTTTAACTTAAAGCAATTTCCAAAGGAATCCACCCCAGACTACGTCTACAGACAGCACTTTGCAGAAATTCAACACAGTGACAGGAATTTAATTCCTATTTATACAGATGGATCTAAATCTGATGATTACGTTGGCTCAGCCTTCGTCTGCCAGGATGATATCATGGCAGAACAAATTGCATTGAATTTTTCCATCTTTTCTGCAGAGTTGCATGCTATTTATTTAGCTTTAAAGTATATAAATAGGAAAGGTTATTGTTGCTGTGTTATTTACACTGACTCAGTTAGTGCACTTCAAGCTTTGAACTCATGTGATCCTAGTTCTCACTCCATAGTGATTAAAATTCGTAAACTGTTTTGCCATCTTATTGCGAGTAACTTCTTTGTAAAATTTTGTTGGGTCCCAGGCCATGTAGGTATAAAAGGAAATGAAGAAGCTGATGCAGCTGCAAAGGCAGCTAGTCCTTCACAGCATGAAATGTGTATTGAAGGAGGTGATTTGAAGATAGTTGTTAAAAAACGACTTGCAGAGAGATGGCAAAATGTGTGGAATGCACAAATCCAGAATAAACTATACGAGATCAAACTTACGATAGAAAATTGGACATGCAACAAACAGTATGACAGGAGATCTGAAGTTATTCTTAGTTGTTTGAGAATTGGGTATACTCGGTTGACTCATCAATACCTTTTGAACGGTGAAGACCAGCCAGTATGTGAGTATTGCAACTGCTTTCTAAGTGTAAAACGCATACTTTGCCACTGCATTGCTCTCGATCAAAGTCGTAGACAGCATTTCGGAAATACAAGTTTGAGAGAGATTTTGGGCCAGAGGCCAAATCTGGACAACATAGTGGACTTTCTGAAAGTCAATAATATGTATAGAGATATTTGATTTCTTATTTATTTATTTACTTATTTTAGAGTTTTATTTACCTTGTTTTTGCTTAGTTATCTTGTTGTATATATCTGTTGTTTTTTATTTATTTATTTATCTAATAATGTCTTATGTTTGTTAGTGTGGTGATTAAAATTTTTACCATTTGCCCTGGCACAGCTTAGCCTACATGGCTCTTGTGCCAAAAAACTAAAACAAACCAACCAACCATGAGTAAGGCATCTGCCAGTGATGTTCTATATGTTTTGCATATACGAATGGCTGCCTTCCGTTGTATCAAAATAAGTTTTCTTTTATTGTGGATTTTGTCCACTGTCTCTCCCCATACTTGAACACCATATAGAACTATTAGCTCTATGGCTTTTTTGTATATTAATTCTGTGTTCCTTGGATTCATTCCTTATGTATTTTTACTTACTTGCTCAATAAGATCTACTTTTTCTGTCATTTTCCTATATGTTTCCTGTATATTTGATCTTCAGTTAAGTTGGCTGTTGAAAAATATCTCCAGATACTTGATATATGGTACGTTATTAACATTTTTTTCATCTACTTTTATGCCGATAGGTTTTTTTTAGTTGTCTCCTTTGTTTTTGCGAGTACAAACTATTGCTTCGCATTTATTATGATTTATTGGTTGTTTGTTCTTAATGTGGGTAACCGGACTAAAGGTAGTCTTTTCTCTAGGTCGGCAATGGTGTAATAAAAACCGCCCACTTGTCACGGAATGGCAAGGTCGATGTTACTATCCCGTGAAGTTGGGACGCGCTTTATCAGGACAGTAAAGGAGATGGATGGGTTGTTTGTAAGGCGTTGGCGATACTTGAATATACGACACCAAGTAAGCAACAAAAACAAAAATTTAATAATTTCTCTTAAACGTAATACATACTGGAACGTCGGGTCCAACTATGCTAGTTATAACCTTTCGCGACATACCAAGTGAGAGTTTACATGCTTAGTGATCATACCTCTTGGTGAGTTCTATTTTGGTTTTGACAATAAACTTCTTGTCTATTTCGGTGAAGGAGCGACGATCGATTGGTCCCTCGGGTCGGATGACAATCCGGGCTGTCTCAATCGGGTGTTGATCGGTGCGCCATTCAAGTGATTCCTCTGACCCCATTTTCGGATAGTACTCCCTATGTATATTAGGGGTCACACAATTTCAGTTACCAATTGTGCCTTTCAGTGATGACTTTTTCGTGACTCAGATTGAGAATTCAGTGAGAAAGGAAGTATCTTCCGGCAAAAGAAGGATGAGCAGAGATTTCGTTCAGAGATTCTGATATGATCTGGTACGGGGGGGTTTTACAAGAAAATTCTATATGGCTGGGCCTGCTATTCGGACCCTCACATCACATTTGTCTTTCCAAAATCATACTAGTATTTAAAGGCAAGTTCAATTTTTAATTTGTTTAAGAGGGTGACACACTCTTACATATAAGCGGTTATAAATATAAATACAAAAATGGTTGTACAGGTAACCCCATATAACACAGCACTTCTATAGCACGGATTCACTCTAACACGGTTTGAGAATTGGGAACATACTCCGTATAGCACGGGTTTACTCTAACACGGTTTGGGAATTGGGTAAAACCCTCGTACAACATGAAATGTAATAAAGGGTGCATTCTTTTATACATCCACATAATTCCGCGCGAGCATTCTAATTGTTTTCATGGCTACTTTGAATGCTCTTTCAACAAATAATCCATTTAATGGTTAAATTATACAATTGGGACCTTTCTTTTGCCTCTAAAAGCTCATTTTAGAATTATAGCGTCCTCCATATGATACTATTGATAGTGCGGGCGCCGCCATCTTTCTTTCACTGTCATTCCTAAATGCCTACAAATAGCAGTGCATTCTCATTGCAGAGCGACTGCTATTAACGAACGCTCCCAAAAACTGTTACCAGTTAATGATGATCATGCTGAGATCATCATATAAAATGAATAATCCTCTGGTAAAATATTTGCTTAAATAATAAATAAGTATTTTACCTATGAAAAAAAATGAATAATAGATCCGATTTAAATGAGGATTTTAACAACATGTTTTTTTAATTTTTGGAACCTAACCCCCCCTTTTCACACTAGTTCTTTTTTGTACAAAAGGGATTTGCATAACACGGCAATTTTTTGGAACCTAACTTCCCTTTTTACACTAGTTCTTTGTTTTGTACAACACGGATTCGCATAACATCGCAATTTTTTGGAACGTAACTCCCGTGTTATACGGGGGTTACCTGTATATTTGAACTAAAATTTTTACAAAAATCGTAATACATTATAAGGATAATTATAATTGTTATTAATGATACATAGTTAACAAAGTATAATTCTTTTCTGAGTAAATGGTTGGCTTGGTTTATCGGTGATTGGATGCACATGTGTTACTTATATCTGGTGGTTGGTTTGGAGTCGTCCAGGGATTGGCTGTTCTATGTATTGCTCTGGTAGTGAGGGTATCGGTTCTTGGAATCACGTAAGTGTACTGTTCTTTGCTCTTGAGTTGTTGTGAGGTTGGTAGACGATGCGAAAATCTTTGTTTTATACTGGTCGGCGCTTAATTCAGAAGGAATGAGGAAGGAAAAATTATTGTTCAGGTAGGTTGATGTTGCTATGAACCTGTAGAGTAATTTCATAGAATAAAATGATGACAAGTTGGGAGTTCTTCGAGTAGGAGATCTTCGCTTCGGGAGTAGGTTAGGTGACACCAGTTTCTCTCGGTAAAAATAAAAGTCATTAGTTAAAAAATTTTTGAATTAAAGTCTAGTACTTGACAGGTTGGAGGTATGAAAAATAAGTACAGAATATAATAGAGGTACTCTCTGTTGTGTACTGAGATTAATATTAAGAGAATATATAATAGTATATAATAATTAAAATGCTATATAATATATGAGTGAAAATGGATAACAAGTTAAGGATAAATATTTTAACAAATAATATATATATAGTTAGGAGTAAATATAATTAATTGGAAGAAGAGTAATATATAGATGGTTATGTTGGTAAAGAGGGAGAGAACTGTGACCTTTAGTAAGATAGAACAACAGGTTGTTGATCTCGTTGTCCAGGGTTGCTTCGGGGCATTATTTCACGGGAAGGGTTGGGTTCTACGCTTGTTAGAAGTGGAGTGGCTTCGTTTCGTCCGTTAGGAGCGGTTTCTTCCGGATTTAGAGGCGTTGGTTCGTTCTGGGCGAGTTGTTGGGTCGGAGAGGAAGTTCGTTTGCGTCGTAAAGGAAGGAGTAGTGATTTGTTGAGTGCAGAGGACCTTGACTTGGGTTTCAATTCTGTTAAATAGTGAATATTCACAACTTTGTTGAGGGGGGCCGTTGAATGGGAACATCCAAAGAGCACATAGTGAAATGTGCCATTTGACAAGTGGTTAGTTCATCTCGTTTCAACAGCATATATGATTGTTGGGCCATCAATAAGGCGATAACTGGATATGTAGTATGGAATTGAATAAAGGTATTTAAAGTAGAGATGTATGTTGGGAATTTAATAATTTCATATAGATCAAAATATCCACTGGGGGTTATTAAGGGAATCTTAGCAAAGATTCTAAATTTTCTGAGTAAGGCTATAGTTATAGTATTAATCCACTGGTAGTATTTAAATAACATATCCGGATGGATAGGTTCAATCATCATATACCCGTCTGGGAGCTGGGTTTGGATGTCTCGCAGAGTTCGTAACAGGATATCCTGGGGAATGAAGTAGGTACTTAGATGACCTTGTTCTAAAACATCTATCGCTTCCCTCAGTTCTATTAATTGGAAGTGTAATTCTTGGACAGAGAACTCTATGGTTCTTAAAATAATTTTGTAAGCTAGGTGAAAGCGATATATATTTATTTGTTCTCTGAAAGTTTCGACCTTTTTGAATAATATGTAAATTTGGTGTCGATTGAGTTTACTTATATTTAACGTATCAAACTACTTTACTGAATGATAATTCAGTAAGGTAGTTTGAGATTTTAATAAATGAATTATTTCTTCGTTACGTTGTTTAAGGTTCTCGATTTCGATATGTAAGGCCTCCACTTCTTCAGAAGTAGCGGTGCCAAAGAGGAATTTGAGAGCTTTCCTTCCTGGGTTGAGGAGTCCTCTTTTTTCTTTTCAGTAGTATTGAGGATGATTAGGGTGAGAAGTTCCTGATATTCTCGATGATAATTAAGGAATGAGGTTTTTATTAGTTCTAAGCCTTTAGAAGGAAGAGGTTGGTCAGTGGAGTTGGTCACTGGAAGGTTAAGTGCTCGTTGTTCGATTAGGATATCCAAATAGTCTAAAGACTGGGAAACGAATTGAATTTGTCTTTCTAAATGTTTGAAGGTAAAGTCATTTACGAGGGTCCAATGGCTTGCTGTCATTAGGAAATTTCCTTGATGTAGGAAAACCACACCTTTTTTTTCAGCTCTGAGGAAGTTGTTAAGGTGGTATAGCGGATGCTCCAAAATAAAATGTAAAGTTGAAGATAGATCATTATGAATGTTGTTTTTGGGTGAGGCGATTGTGGTTTCCCTGGAATAGGGGAAATAATGAAATTTTTATTAGAAAGTGAGAGGATATTAAGGGTATTGACAGGCATTAGAACGGGCAAGGTTCTCACGCTTAGCAATTAGGTTTCCTGGGGGAGAAGAGGAAAGGACCAAAAAAAATTAGACTATATAAATATAAACTTTTATTATATGCTTAGATATACATATAGTAGAGAGTTACGAATACATATATTGGGTTAGTAGTTAGTGGTTGGCTTTGCTATGGAGTAATTTGACTGCTGTAGTGTCGAGGTTGTTTCCTTTCCTGTGCAGCTTGATTATGGCGAGAATGTTCCATTGGATGTGAAGTAGGGAATAACAGAGTTCATGAGGCCGTAACAGAAGTGTCATCTTGTGGAGTGTAGTGACCCTCGATACGTACTAGCTCCTCTAAGTATGCCGTCTCCAAGTGTGGAGGGCATTTGTAATCGACGGGAAGAATAATCGTAGTGGGGGTTTTTTCTGTTGGTACTGCGACCAGTTGAAATTGATGGCGGCTTCGAGTGATGGACCCTTGATAAACTTTCGTTTTGGAGGTGGTGAGGGAGGAGAGGAAATGAAAGAGTCCCACCACTGATTATCTGTATTATCCATTTCTGGAAAGTGGTTTGGAAAATTAGGATAGTGCGATCACTCGGTATCGTTTATATTAATAGTGATAATTAGCTTAAAATTATGAAAGGCACCAAAAGAATAGATAGACTCAGCAGAAAGTTCTAACAGAGAGTAGAGGTCATAGGTGTCGATGGAGACCCATAGAGGAATATGGGAAGAGTTCCACTGAAGTGAGTGAGGTTTTCATTTTAAGCTAACTGTGTAAGTAAAGGATGAAAGAGAGGGAGGTTGGGTTAAAATATAGACCTTGATAGAACTATGCTGGTAGCCTGAGGTAGGACGAAGTCATACCTCGGTTTGATAGGCAACAGTTCGGTGAGAACTGCCCACTGGTCAGTGGATGGCTTAGAAAATGCTTTCTCTATCCCGTAAAGTCGGGATTCTTTTGTCAGGTCGAGTGGAGGAGGCGAGAGGGGTCGTCGGTAAAGTGTGAACGATACTAGAAATAAAGACGACTTTTTAATAAACAAACAAACATTTATTTAAACAACATAATCCTAACATACAAAGACTACCTACTTGCGCGTTATTCGAAGGGACCGCGCCGAGAGAGAGTGTACAATATTGGGTCATACCTCTGGTTGATTCGGTCTATTTCTGGTACTGAAGGTTTGGATCTTGATCGGGTAGGCTTCGGGTCGTATATCGGGATCGTCCCAGGGTTCGTTGGCGAGGCGGTCGGCGTGACGTCCTGGATCGCTGCAGGCGGAGTTGACCCCCCTTCCGTGTGGTACCTGGTCTTTATACCTTCGGGTCTCGTGGTCGGGTTTCACCAATCGTAGATTTTTTTGAAAGACGTCCGGGTGATTCAGTTGCGAATTCCGTTGTGAAAGGAAGTTACTCCGGGGCACGGAAGGATAGATTTCCTCCCAGGGAAAATTTTAACACACAAAGAAAAACGGAGAGTTTCATTGTTAAAACAATTGATAGTTTAATATCAAACATTTAATTTTGTTTTTATTAACTCGTTATATTTCTCACAGAACAGTGGGGATTGTCTGAATGGGTTTTAGTGACGACGATGACAAACTTCTGGCCATAACAGGCTAAGAGGGTAGCCCATATTAGTGGACTAGGGCCTTCCACATAAAGACCAAGGAAGAGTAGAGAAGATCGGTTAAATTTGTTTATTTGGGGATGAGCTTGCTGGAGGTGAGGTGAGATAAGGGCCCACTCTCCTTCCCACAGACAATTTAGATTTCTGAGAGGACAAGGTAAAGGGGTGAATGGGCACTGCTGTCCGTGAAATTCTTGATCTTCAGTTGTTAAATATTCAGGGCATTCATGTGCCTGGTTAATACATGGTAATCTTAAAGAGGAGGCTATTTGTTCTGCGACGAGACTACGGATATGTCCCATAGTGTTGTGGCACGTATGGCATTGGGTGATGCGTGGTCTGCATTGTGAACAAACAATGTGGTCATTTGTGCATTGATATACAGGCAACCTCACGCTCTCAAGGCAAATGGGACAGCTGAGTAAAGTGGTCAAAAACTTTTTAATGGTTATAGAAGCCATAATTCTGAAAGGAAGAAGGAGTATATATAAGGAATGATAATTATTATGAAATTAATTTTAAAGATGGCACCAACTACCACAAGCAATCGCAGTAGACAGGGGAGGACCGGTCTGCTTGATAGCAGGTAACCCCAACTAACCAAGAGCAGACAAAGGTGCCAGACACAACACAACACGTAATACAAACACAACACTTACACAATCACAAACGTAAACACTGGTATCCACAACAGTATCCAAACATGGCTGCTATCCAAGATGGCTGGCTCTGGCTAATGAAGATGGCTGCCACTGACAATCCAATATGGCTACTCCTGGAGATGGATCACTAGTTCAAGTGAGGAAGCCAAGATGGTGGAACTCCAAATGCAGACACTTTCAGAATTAAACTAAGCCTAGCAAAGCTAAGCCTAACTTTTTGTGCATTGATATACATTGATGCAGACACTTTCAGAATCAAACTCGCACAAAAAGTTAG